ATGCATGCCCAGTAACGAAAAGTGAAGGCAAAGTAAAGACACAGTTTGAGGAATATAAACTTAGTTGTTTTTGTTTGTTATTATTGTTTTTACTACCAAAATCCTCATTATAAGTAATTTTAAATATTTTATAGGCTATATTAGAGAGAGGAACAAATCTCAAATAGAAAATTATTTACCACGAAAGAGGAGATCATGAGCCAGGACACTGATAAATGTATGAGTATATATGCAAACATTTCCTGAATAGAACAAGAGTAATATTGTCACATTGGAGGGGTATATTAGCTTCCTTGAGTTGTTATAACAAAGTACCACAAAATGGGTTGCTTTAAAGAACAGAAATTTATTCTCTCACACTCTGGAAGTTAGAAGTTTGAAATCCAGTTATTGGCAGAGCCATGCTCCCTCTGAAATTTGTAGAAGAGAATTTTTCCATACCTTTCTCTTAGCATCTGGTGTTGGTGGCAGTCCTGGGAATTCCTTGGCTTGTGGATGCATCACTCTAGGCTTTGCTCCATTATCACCCAACAGTGGTCGGCAAACTGCGGCTTGCGAGCCACATGTGGCTCGTGAGCTGCAGTTTGCCAACCATTGACCTAGCATAATGTGTGTCTGTGTATCTCTTCTTCTGAAGATACAAGTCAGGTTTAGATTTAGATCCTACACCACTGGAGCATGACTTCACTATAAAATGATTACATCAGCAAAGACTCTATTTCTATGAAGTCATATTTCCAGGTAACACAATTTAGAATTTGAACATATCTTCTTGGGGGACACAATCAACCTACACAAAGGATTAAAATAAGATAGCAAAATCTACACAAGAATTGAAAAGAAGAGGGAAGGAAGTGGATGGTATTAAACTGCTCCTAGATCCTTATAATATTCTGGAGGAAAATAAAGTTATTAACTTGAGACTTTAAGTTGAACACACATGATGAAAATATTATTTGTATATAGGCACTATTTAATACAAGATTAAAATTAGTCTCTTGACATGATTACGTTCCTATAAAAACATATGATTTCTTAGCAGAGTTCCTAAGACATAAGCCAACAAAAGAATACTACACTTTAGGAAAAAACAAAAACATATGCTAACAGATGAGTTATGTTATACATTTGTGTTTGGCCTTGTGTTTTATAAGTAAGGAGAGTTGTTTTTTAATTTTAGTGTGTTTCAGATGAAGATTCTTAAAGAAAGGAAATGAAAGGTGCTGAAAAATACTGCTAATGGCAAAACAAGGATACTGCATATTAGTCAAAAGAAGATACATTTCTTTTCTATCTCACTACCATCACAACTCAGCTACTAGCATTATAAGGCACACATAGAAAATTAAGAAATACTTTTCACAAAAATTTTTCTACAATGAATAAGGCACTTTGTTCTCATCAGATTTTCACAGCCCCATGTCTATGAACCGTGCTCTATAGGAAAAAGACTTGGTTTTACAGAACTGTTTTACATAATGGCATGCATACGAACAAAAGTTTATATATGATTCAAGTGAACAAATAAGTACAATTTTTCTTCCTGATCTTTCCACCTGAACTTCACAACCTCTGATTCGCTTACCTGGCTTTAGTTAGCTAAATATTAGATCCATCTGGATTTTACTAATTACCTGCCCTCTAACTAAAGACAGTTGTAGCAGCTAATCTTCTATTTTTTACCTGCTAATTAGCTATTTCCAATAGAACTTTAAAATGCTACCCTAATCTATGCCCTCATTTCCTTCTGCTATATGCAATTGCCTGTTACTTCCTTTAAATAGGTTATGTCTTTCCCAGTAATTGTCTTAGATTTGTCCTCTGTTGGATCACGGTTGCCGGTACCAGTTACTTTAATTTTAGGACATCCGAGGCCATATGTGATAGATAACTGCATTCTATTAAACCTGGACACTTTTAACAATTATCAAGGGCCCCGACTGGAAAATGTGCAATTGTATGAAAATCTTCCTACGATAACTCTTGGCTACAAGGGACTGATAGGCTCTCCCATGTACAAATTAATGAATTTTGTCACCTATTATTTGTGGTTGGTCTCATTCTTCTTGTCAGAAATGACAATATCTGTTCTGCATATAGGTCAAGGAGGAGGACAGGCTGGGAAAGCTAGGTCTCTTTGCGTTAGCAATTAGAAACTGCTTGATGCTTTAAGTGCCTGTGGATAAATAAAACTACTGTAATTGCAGAGCCATTTTTAGAACTGCACATCCACTGAGACATTTTTGACCTGCAGCAATAAACTATGCGGCAGTATTTGAACTGTGCATATCAGTTAATTAGAAAATGAAAATGTAAATGGAAGGATTAATTCAACAACCTGCACAAGCACAGTGATAGCACCCTCGGACCTCTACTCTTTTCTCCTTTGTCCCCTTTTCTCTTTTCTTTCAAGAATAAACATCCCATATGCCCTAGCCGGTTTGGCTCAGTGGATAGAGCATTGGCCTGCAGACCAAAGGGTCCCGGGTTTGATTCTGGACATGTCAAGGGCATGTACCTTGTTTGCAGGCTTCCTCCTGGTCAGGGCTTGTGCAGGAGGCAACAAATCAATGTGTTTCCCTCAAGTTGATGTTTCTCTCTGCCTTCCTCTCTCTCTTCCATTCTCCCTAAAAATCAATGGAAAAAATATCTTCAGGTGAGGATTAACAAAAAATAAATTAAAAACAGGAGTGGCATCCCATATGTGAATTTTTCATTATGAAAATTCAGTAAAAACAAGTTGTCATTTTTGTGTTAATTGATATTGACAAAATATTTTATTCATGTTTCTTGAACACAGAGTCTGTATTATGTTCATCTATGAAGCTCATGAATGGCCAGAACCGTATTAAGTCATTTGTTCTTGATATTTCTCTCCCACTTGAAGAAGAAACCTGGCCTCCCCAATAAGAAATAACTTGGATATTCATTCATTCATTTATTCCACAAACATTTTCGTGAGTGCCCCCTATGTACCAAGCAGCATGGTTGGTAGCATGGATAAAATAGAGAATAAGGTCACTGGCTCAGAAAGCTTACTTTCTAAACAGGACAAATATGAAATACTGTATCATGACCCCAGGATGTAATCCTTATGTTCTTGTACATTTTCATTGACATATAATCCAATGACTAGAGACCAGGCCCTTCTATGCGCTATGCAATGCAACACAGGTGCCTCCATATGTCATGGAGAAAAGAAGTCAAAGTATAATGGGATGAACACTAGGGAAGAAATAAGGAAAATTAGTTTAAATTTCAGGCAGTTCACTGTTTAATTTGTGAACTTGAGGAAGACTAACAGTGTTGAGCAGCATGAGATAATCACGATATAAAAGCATTTTAAACTTTCATTCAACACTCTCCCATAAAACATGATTGTGGAAAATTACTTATCGGATTTGAAATCCTGTTTTTTAATCTCTAAATTAGTAGATATTAATTATTAACTCATTAACTGTTATAGCACACATGACATACCTAATCCAGTATTTGACAAGTAGTGATATCAACTTTAATTTCTCTTTTACTGTTTTTTTTCCCTGCTTTCCTACCTTCCTTTTTTCTTTCCTCCCTTCCATCCTTCCTTCTTCCTTGTGCTTCCCTCCATATGGTACTTCTTTTTTCCCCTATGCAGCTATTTGTAAGATAAGAATATGGGACTATCTGAGATCTATAGGTCCTTCTAGATCAGTGACTCATTGGTAAGCTAGGAATGAATATGGAAGCCTCAGAACTCTGATCATCCCTGATAACTTATCAATTATGTCAACATGGCTAGAGCATCAGCCTACAGACCAAGGGCACATGCCCAGGGTTGCAGGCTCAGTCCCCAGTAGGGTGTGTGCAGAAGGCAGCCAATCAATGATTCTCTCTCATCATTGATGTTTCTCTCTCCCTCTCCCTCTCCCTTCCTCTCTGAAATCAATAAAAACATATTTTAAAAAAATATGTCATGGGTGGTGCTCTGTCATCTGTTTTGAAATATAATCACCTCTGCCTTGGTAGCGGAAGCAACTTAAAAGAGCTAAAAAAATAAACTTCAAAATTTAGATAATTTCCTATACCTAGAGCATCAGAAATACTGAGATAAAGAGTTTTGGACAGATTCCCAGATAAGAAACCTGATTCATAGAGGTCAATAAGAAATTAAAGAAGTGTAATATTATAATGGCAAAGCCCTTCTCTAGGACTTCCTATAGTTCTCCTTGGTAAGGTTACAGACAGGAAATAGCCATTAACAAATCAAGCTGAAGCGTACCATTATCTCATTACTATTTCTAGCTATTATAATTGTCAAAGTGTATGAAATACAAAGTAAAAGTTCATCCTGATTTTCTATGCAACATTGAGCCACATTTCCTCAATCTAAAATGCCCTACAAATATATCAGTGAATTATCAAAAATTATATGAACTCTTTCATAGCATTAAGGTAGTGTTTTTATTTTAATACTGGCTATAAGAATGATCTGTTAACTTTCATGATACAGATTTTCATTGTTGCCTAGAATTCTAACAGTAATTGTAAACATCCTACCTTTGCTGTCTTTATGGTTTCAAACACTCTCTTTTCCTTAAATTGTTTTATGCATTACATACAGTAGACTGCATTTGACTGTGAATGAGGCAAGTCAATGTTCATGATCACTCAGAGAAAGAGTAGCTAATGAAAGACTGGAACCAAACTCTCACTCCAACATACGGCCTTTTTCAATGTTATCCCTATATTTGTCAATACTTTCTCTCCTATTGCTGCTATAAATATCTACTAAATTCTGGTGAAGAGCCAACACACTATATTTTGTGATTCTCTAGGAAAAAGCCTGGATGGGTTGGCAGTCACCTAAAGAGATACAACTATGCCATGTCATGGCCTTACTGGTACTCTTCATATTCCAATGCCCTCAGCATAAAATTCTACAGCTTAACATGGCGGACAAGAACCTCCCAAAGTGTACAGGCCTCCTGAAGACTGAAGGGCCCTGCATTTGATTCCAGTCAAGGGCATGTACCTTGGTTGCAGGCTCCTCCCCAGGCAGGGGCCTGTTCAGGGCGCATGCAGGAGGCAACCAATCGATGTGTTTCCCTCACACTGATGTTTCTCTCTTTCTCTTCCACTCTCTAAAATCAATGGAAATTATCCCCCAGTGAGAATTAAAAAAAAAAAACACTGTCCAGACTTCTTTTATCTTCCCTGCCTTATTGCATCAGACCACATCTTTTTTTTTTTTTTTAAATATATTTTTGATTGATTAAGAAATTACATATGTGTAAAAAAAAGTGGAAAATGTCAGCCTGCTGACCAAAGGGTCCTGGGTTTGATTCTGGTCAAGGGCACATACCTCTGTTGCAGGCTCCTCCTCGGCCTGGGCTTGTCGGGGCTGGTGCAGGAGACAACCAATCAATGTGTTTCTATCACATTTATCTTTCTCCTGATTTTTCCCTTTCTCTTCCACTCTCTAAAATCAATGGAAATTATCCCCCAGTGAGAATTAAAAAAAAAAAACACTGTCCAGACTTCTTTTATCTTCCCTGCCTTATTGCATCAGACCACATCTTTTTTTTTTTTTTTAAATATATTTTTGATTGAATTTACAGAGAAGAAGGGAGAGAGATAGAGAGTTAGAAACATCCATCAGCTGCCTCCTGCACACTGGGGATGTGCCCGAAACCAAGGTACATGCCCTTGACCGGAATCGAACCTGGGACCCTTCAGTCCGCAGGCCGACACTCTATCCACTGAGCAAACCGGTCAGGGCCCAGCATGTTG